AATACGCTTTGTTCTCAGAGTTGCTGATGCCCATATCTCTTGACTGAGGCCAGCAAGCCGTCGTAGATTTAATGACTATCCCATCACCCATTACATAGTGGTACTTCGATTGGTCTGACGTTTCATTGCATACACATATTGCTCGAAGTTCATAACTTGTCGATGTGGTTAGCCTTGCATTTTAGCAAATATAGGAATCATTATTTATTTGAATGACTTTACAGAGGTACTGCCTGAAAGAGAATAATATCTAACTTCTATCAGAATTAGAGAATTCAATCACTTTTCGTTTCGAGATACTTGCGTTATTCTCTAAGTGTCCCATTTTTGATTGCTCACCAACTATAGAAGCAATGCGAACTTTGCAAGGCGCAGTGACATTCATGCAATTTGTTTTTGATGAATATAGCTGCTTCTGTTGACTACGAAGCTACTTGGCAAACAAAGCATATCATTTATTCATCACGGTTTAAATTACAGACATTCTACTGGAGTAGCTTCAACGATGCCGAAAGCCTATGTAAGATTATTGGAGGACATTTGACATCAATACATAGTTTGAATGAAAATGCTTTCGTAGCAGGTATCTCACTTATGCTTTATTCTATCGTACGATACCAGCCTGATCAATTTGCGATTAAGACTTGGCAAAGACTGGTCTGAATTGGAGTGATAAAAACCATTTGACATGGATAGGTTTGAGACGAGCTGATTATCTGAATGGCTTTGATTGGTTCTGGACTGACGGCACACCCGTTGACTTCCAAGCCTGGGCTCCTAATGAGCCGGATAACTCTTATGGAAAGGAGCGTTGCGTGCAGGTAACTCTTTTTAACTCATATATAAAAAGATCGAATGATACTTCGTCTACTTTTTTCGTATTCACGCTGCCGCTATATTTGGTAGCACAGATTCATTTGTACAACTTACCGATATAATGAGTAATAGCACCTCAGTATTTTCAGAATTTTGCAAATTTCTTTGCAACTATGTGTTATCATAAAAATAATCTTCGGCTTATAATCTTTCTACAGCTCCGCTCTTTTAAATTTTTCAGCGAATAAAAACGAAGCTGAAGGAAAAAGGATCGCGATAATGTGCGAAAGATTCTTATCTGTTTGCTCTATGATTTCCTACATACTCGGAAATACTCTAAAAATGCGAAAATTAGTATGGTAAAAACAACAAGTAAGTTCTGATGATTAAAGAAAAGCGCAGTGAACATAGCTGCTAATAAAATAAAAGATTCTACATTGAACACTGTTCGAACTATTCGTTCATATTCTATATGTCCGCTGATCATGAAACCTGGGCATTGT